GGAAACTGTTTTTTTTTTTTAAATTTCGGTAATTTTTCCTTAATATAGTAAAAAAATAAAACCCCCAGTGGTGAATAAATACCACCAAAAGAAAGCTCTATCTGTCCCCAAAAAAGGGTATAAAATTCATTTCAGTACAGCGCTGCATGACGGAATAAATGTCAGTTAAAGTACCGCAGCGCTGAATACTGAAAAATGGCCTGGATGGGAAGGGGGTTTAACACCGCGGATGTCAACTGGTTAATGTGCACCTGTGCCCAGACTGTGGACACTAAAGTAATGACATATTCTTTAGCAGTTTTAAAAAGTTTAAAACCAAATCATCCATGACCTATCTAGCTGCATGTACTGTGAAGTAATTCAGTCTCAAAGATTGTCAAAAATCACAACAAGGACTCTTGTTGACAAGTCAGGTTTCATTCAGTTTCTAACAGCTTTGAATCACCTGCGGTGTATTTTACATTAGAGGGCTGGCAGGCTACCAAGATTCTGTTCTCCATAACAAAAATAGCTGAGATTTTAGTGCCTCAGTTGAGCTGAGCATTAAAGTTGAATTTCTCCACAATGTCTATAGCTTGAAAGGTGAATAAAGACTGTAAGGTGCTTCCGCTGCTTGTTCAAAATATGCAAATAGGTTAGCGTGCATTATCTAGGCACAAGTTCTCTTTAATGAGCATTTTCCTACACTGGTCATTCACACACCATTGGTTGCACCATAGCCTTTCTGTGGTCCAAACCTTTCCTGCACATGGTGGCTTTTTTGTAATTCACTCTTAAATTGTTTTCACATCCCATACACAGAAGCAACACTGTGCTATTATTGTTTTTCGGCTATAGCTGTAGATTGAATATTCATGTACAGGAAGGAAATTCTTAGACTGTAGTTTTACACCTCACCTGAAGTAAATGCTGTGAATGTAGAGTGTAAAGAAGGTAAGTAGTGTATGTATTTATTAAAAGCATCATATTTAAAATTGTTGTAACGGTGCCATTTTAAGGACTGCCCTACTCTCTGATGATTACTTGTCGCCAAAGTTAAGTTTACAGGTTCAATTGTCTTAAACTTAACCTCCTAGTGTTGCCTTAGAAACCTGCTCAGGGGGTCTGAGTCACAGAATACACTAAAATTGTAAATAACAGGCAGCTCTCAGTTGTTAACAGTTGTCCTTTACTACAGGTGCTTTTTCGGCTCCTTCCTCATATCATTGTGTTCTGATACTATATTCACATTCTGGTGCCGTGCTAAGAGGTTAGCTTGTGGCGAAGCAAGGTGTGACAGGTACTCTTGTTCTCCAGAGAATCTGCCTGGAAGAAAGAGGGGGCTTCAGGAAACAAAGTGAAGGGAAAGCCGTGATGTTTGTTTAATACGTACAACAAGGCACATAGAAATGATTTGTGTGCCTTTCTGAAGGACGTTTGAGTGGGATTTACAAGTATGCTGATGTAGTAGGCCAGAAGGTAGGCAGGGGACGCAGCAATGACACGATACCGGCGTAATGACACGATACTGGAAATCAGCAAACTCTGAAAAGATTTAACATCCTCCTTATGATACACTGTCATGTAACACAGATGGGATGGGGTTGACCATGAGGGAATAAGCGTGACTTATTCAGTAAGGAGGTGGGGCGTCCTCCTGACAGGCCTGCACCCAATTTGATATCTTCTGCCCCCATGTGCTCCAAGATGGAGACTCTCATAGTTTAGAGTTAGGACCGCACTATAAGAGGTGCCTTGGCGCGGCAGTGCGGCTTACACATCCTTTGCAGAAGACGTGTATCCAAACCTCTGTCATTGTCCTTAGTGGTGAGACAAGTTGTTTTACATGCTGGTTTGTGAGTGTGCCATGATGCCTTTCTACTGTACCCTTATTCAGCCACATGACTAGAGTTGTCTTTAATGGGGCACTTTCTCTTATGTGCGTTTATAACCTGTTGTGTGCATTGAGGCTCATGTGCATTGTTTGCTGCGTTGATAACCGTCACGGGGGGGGGCATTAGATATTTCTGGATTCATTCCCAAAATACGTGCATAATGCATGTGATGATGCACATTACTACTTGCTCTCTTGGGTGTGAATAGGACCTTCATCCATTCAGTGTTTCTCTCTGCAGCTCCCTCACTTCTCTCTAGCTTCTCAGGAAACCATCAGCCCTGTCACACCTAGATCCCCTAAATCTAACCTGCTAGACCTGCTGGTAAATCTAATACTGGGTCCATCAGTCCGCAAAATGTTTGTTATGTTGGTAACGAATATGTTCTGACTGTATAACTTGCTCAATATCCTGACAGGTAGAGCAGCTGAAAGAGGAGCTGAGCGCCAAGGAGAGCCAGGCGGAGGAGCTGAAGAAGAAAGTTTCAGCTCTGCAGACGGAGCTGTCTGGCGTAAGGCTCCACGTTCTGTCTGTCCGCTGGCTTGCTGTGTCTCCTCAAGGCGCTCTGCGCCGCTTCTAACTTTCTGCTCTCGATGGAATTTTGGGGGTGTCTCTAACACGTTAACCTCTCTGTCACTCCGGGTTTTCCAGGTGTCCATTATGTGTGTCTCACTTTATCCTTTGCTCTGCAGTGATGCAATAACTCACACTAACCTCCTGAATTAAAGCTATACTTTTTTTTCCCAAAATTTTTATAGACCTGTATGTCATTGTCACTTGTTGATGTCATTAATCTTATCATTGTACGTTTAATGTTTTAAAAATACTTTATGTCTAGTTTATATATGTACATGGGGGCAACCATACTTGGCACCGAGAGAAGCAGGCATTTCTAAGCACACAGATATTGGTGTCAGAGCAGTAATGCCATGCATGGGTTCAGTTTGGCTGCCCCAGAAATAGTATATGACTGGGGGTATAGCTGCCTCCTTCACAGCGCTACGTTCTGACAGTTTTAGTTTAATTGGCACATGTCCCTGGGGTATGGAAGGAGACGGATGAAACATTAAGTAAATTCAGGATATATTGATATACTGCTCAGTGAAGCGAGAGGTCAGTTTCAGCAGCTCTGATTGCAACCAGATGCAAGGCGCTGTATCAACCCCCCATATGGGGCTTCCATAGGCTTTAGTGGCTCAAGAAAATTTCCTGTAACTGTGCTGTCAGAAAATAATCTTTAATGTAATAAAGTATTACTTATCTGTGTAAAAGAAGAATCAGTTATCTCTGTAAATAGAACTGACATGGCTGCCTCCATTAACATATTAAGCTATAAATATAAGCTGATTTGTGAATGTTTACTTTTTATTTTATTATGGTTAAGATGTTTTAATACTCTCTCTATTATTAATATTTATATTAATATTTTAACAATTACTGAAGCTTTGAAGTGATGTTGCCCCTTTCAAGCAGGACTTGCAGGTTCTTGTTTCCTGTAGGCACTCATTTCCCAATAGAATGTTCGAGGTGTTAAGTCAGTGTGCCAGTTGAGTTCCATTCACAATGAAAACAGCTGAAATGTAGCTTATCTTGGGGTTCATTGCTTCCACATGAATTCTGCTCACACATTACATTTAGACAGGTTGGGGAGATTTTCCATCGCTTCTTGTGCCTGTGACACCCGTACAAGAAACAGGAGGTATCTCTGGGATGGGAAGGTACTGACAGCAATACAACATTTTCAGAAAATTATAACCAATCCTCACTCTACTACTAATGTGTCTGTTTATTCATTGGAAAGATTTCCTATTTCTTCCTGTCTTGAGAGAAATCTAAAGGAACGCTCCCTAAAAGGGATGTAGACAGCAATAAAAAACCATTAAAAAACACCCTAACCCCTCCCTGCTCTATCCATAACGAAAGGTAACGTAATGGAGTTGTTCTTTAAAGACAATATGCTTTGCCAGGGGATTTTAGATGCAAGCCAAGTCAACCCAGTTTTTGAGGCTGTTCACTGATCAGCAGCCCTCTGCCCATTACCTTGTACTGGTGAGCTATGTGAAACATTAGCACATAATGTTAAGGTGCTGTTACAGAGGGTATCAATGGTCACACTTCCCGTATCTATCAGTCCTTCGTTAAGTTAGCTTCAGGAACTGGCTCAGACTTCACACAGCCCTCTTCTCTCCTGGGGATGTTCGCGAGCTTGTAAATTGCTGATCAGCCTTTGTCCATATATAGGTGGAAAGAGTTTTATCTGGCGCCTCGTAATATCTCTACAAGTGATTATTTACATTCATTGTCTTGTCTTCCTGCCCCAATTCATTGCTTTCTCTGCCTCGTGTTGCCCCTGCAGATTGGGCAGGTCAAGCAGGAGCTCTCTCGTAAGGACACAGAGCTGCTGGCGCTGCAGACCAAACTGGAAACCCTCAACAATCAGTTTTCAGACAGCAAACAGCATGTGGAGGTCCTCAAAGAATCGCTTACCGCAAAGGAGCAGCGAGCGGCCATTTTGCAGACTGAGGTAAGGAACGGAGACAATGGTGGGCTGATAATGTGGGACCCACTAAGAACATTTGCACCTGTTGCTCAGCTAACTATTCTTTAGGTCAAAACAAAAGTCAGACCTTGCTGGGAGCTAGATGGCTGGGGCTGGTGGCAGGAAAGAAGGAGAAAATCTTGAGTGCACTAGATCAGTGGTGCACTAGATCAGTGGTTCTCAATCTGTTTAACCTCAGGACCCACATTTGTGCTTGGTAATTAAGTCATGACCCAAGGCGCACTGCAATGGAATGTGCGGCATTGCAGTACCGGGCATTTGGGTGCGTCATTCAAATTAATGGCAACGCAATGCACCTTCCGCACCAGAACACGCAGTAGGTGCGATTGCGTGGTACCGTGCATTAATCACTGGGGACTGTGTGATTAACACACTGTACTAGTGTGAATGGACCCTCAAAGACACTGTGACACACACAACCACATTCTCACACACACATACACACTCCAAAAAAATATATAATTTTTTTTCTTTTTTTTTTTAAGATCCACCCAGTCTTCCTACCATATGAGAACTGGAATGGATCCTCAGCCTGGTGACCAGTGTGGGCTGTTGTGCTGTGACGGAGCTCCATCCATATGTGCATTGTTTGTACAGCTCCTTTGCTTCCCCTGTAGAGATGCCAGGATCCAGAATGTGATGTCACTACAGTCCAGGCACCTCTACAGGGCACATGTGGGAGCTGTAAGCAATGCACGTATGGATGGAGCTCCCTGATAGCCATACTTCCACCTCAAGCTGAAACGCAGGGCCATATTTTGAATGGCTGCTCGGCACAAGACCCAACGGTGCTGCGCTAGGGGAAGGCTGAGGAGTGTCTCACTTAGAAGGAAGGCATGTCGCGACCCACGGAACATGGGGTCGTGACCCACTTTTGGGTCACGACCCACCAGTTGAGAACTAAGGCACTAGATTGATCTGGACTGGAGGTTATGTTGATAGTTGTGAGTTAAGCCAGAAGGTGGGACTTTTAACACTGGGTAGAGTTGGTGAATAGATTAAAGGCAGTGTCTTGACCTAGAGTCCAAGGCAATCGGTGGCCCTCAAAAACAGACTTTACCTATGAGTTCGCTTTAAGCAGCTTTGGACCTCTCCAGTAATGTTTTTGAAACAGAGCTCTGCAAGGGTGGGATCTCTGTGAGGGTAAAGGCATTAATTGGCTGCTTATAGGCATTCATTGTTCATTAATGAATCCGAGGAAAGTGTTTTAGCTTAGTGTGCTTATCCTGTAGGTGGACGCTCTTCGTTTGCGCCTGGAGGAGAAAGAGACAATGCTGAACAGAAAGACGAAACAGATCCAGGAAATGTCCGAAGAGAAAGGCACCTTATCCGGCGAGATCCATGACCTCAAGGACATGCTGGACGTCAAGGAGAGAAAAGTAAACGTGCTGCAGAAGAAAGTAAGAGATGTTTTGTTCTTTAAAACGTTACAGACTTATTTTAATCTTTACGCTATAGACCAAAAGAATCTTTGTTCCAAATGATTGAGTTCAGGTGCTTCCAATGAAGAGTACTGTTGATGCTTCAACATATGAAGACATTCTAGACAATTGTGCACTTCCAACCGTGTGGTAACATTTTGGGAAGGGCCACTTGTCCCTGACCTCCACCCTACTTGAACACCTTTGGGACAAATTGGAACACCAATTGCAAGCCAGTTCTTCTTGTGCAACATCAGTACCTGACCTCACAAATGGACACAAATTCCAACAGACACACTCAAAAGCCCTTCCACAAGAGTGGTGGATATTATAGCCTCAGTGAGGTGAGGTGGGGGGAAGTTCATATAGGTGTGATGGCCAGGTTTCCAAAAATGTCTGGCCTTATAGTGTATATAAGCTACCATTGCTCCAAAATACTTGATTGGATGTCTCTGGTTTTAGTGCCTTCATAGTCACTGATTCAGAGGAAACATGAAGGCACTACATTTAGATAGAACTCTAGATCTGTGTGCCTTTTCCAGTGCAGTGATACAGAAAGTGGTGAAGCCACTGGATTTGTCTTCAAGCCAGGAAACTAGCAAACAGGAGAGGTCAGCGTGCTAGCCCAAGCGTTAGTCTCAGTACAGGTTTTCTTTAATGTGCACCTGTGCCCAGATTACAGACATTCAAGTAATAAAAAGAGCTTTAAAGTGATCCTGTCACAATTTGTTTCTGTAAAAGCCTTACCTGTAGAAGAAGGGAGTAAATATTCGCCTTTCCCAGTGGGGTTGAATACGATACAAGCAAGCAGAAAGTACATTTAGAACTTCTGATTCACATACCTGTTTCAAGTCAGCAGGTTGGAAAGTGCTGAAGCAAGAGGACCACTGAGACAGCCCGGCTACTAGATCTTTTAGATGGAAGGTTAAGAGGTGGCATGGAACTTATTTTTCTCAGCAAGGCTTTTTGTTAATCGATCTGTCTGAACAATTTCCACCTTTTGTAATTGGTCAGTCTCTTGCTGGAGAGCATGTTGTGTACTCTGTGACCACTAGATGGTGCTCTGCAATCACAGGTTTGTAGGATACTGCCCTGCGGGTTCTGTGCCTACTTGGATGTGATTCACAGTGCTGATTTTAAGACTTTATGCAACCTAACCTAAAAAAACTAAAAGAAAAAAGTTGTTAGAAGGCACAGCAAGAATGTTGCTATTACAATCTGCATGTCTTCCAGAGGAAAGCCTCCTTGTAATGCCTTGTTATATATATAGATATAGATCTCTCTCTCTCTCTCTCTATCTATCTATCTATCTATCTATCTATCTATAGATAGTCTATCTATCTATAGATAGAGAGAGAGAGAGAGAGAGAGAGAGAGAGAGAGAGATATTCTGCCTGAATCTCATGTACTTTTCTTCCCGGCATCTTAAGTCTCTCTGACTGTCTGGATGACTCATCCTCTGCATCACGTGATATTTCAGCATGTTGCATGGTTTCCATGACTGCAGGGGGAACGTGCATTACTTTGGGCATGGAGAAGGGGGCGGCATTGTTTGCCATCAGAGCACCCCATCGGGGGGGACAGCGATTAGTATTATCCAGCAGGGTTTTTCCATTGTACGATCAGGATCCTCTACCTCATGTCACCTAAGTACAGGCTCTAAAATCACTAGGAGGACAACAGGTAATTATGATGATGTCATGGGCATCTTTAGGGTAGTTTGAAGGCAGTGTAGAGAAATAACTACTAGAGGAGGGTTTCTATTTTGTAGTAATATATATTGTTGGTCGCTAGTTTAAAGCCTAACTTCTGCCAAAACCTTTTTAGACAGAGTGGGAAAGGGATAGAACCCCTATCAGGTTTTTTCTATGGTCTCTGACCCCACTGCAGAGATCCCTTCACTTCTTGTGCGGACAGGGACAAGACAGGACCGGAAGTGATGGGAAATCTCTAGTGGGGACACAGATTGCTTTACTTATCGTCTATTCGGGGATACAACATTACATATTTATGAACCATGAGTTATACTGCTACGTATAGGATAATTGGACACTAGGCCAATCCCCTCCTGTAACCATTCTGCTCAGTTTTTCGCTTATTACCTTTTAAACTTTTCACTGACTCCACCATAAAAATGATGGTGTGGCAGTATTGGGATGTAAACAAACTTGAAGCTACATTAGCAGCCACACATTTGTTTAATTATTATTCAGTTGACTTGAGCTGTCATATAGAAGTGATTCAGAAGCTTTAAAGCTGCCCAATCACTTCTATATGTGCATAATGGTGTTTCCCATCCACACAAAATCCATTTTTGGATCTCCCCTGGAAGCAATAGACCTGGAAGCACTCCACTCTCAGTACTGTCAGATCCTGGCTGCATTGAGTGCAATGTGTACTTGATCTATCTAAGGCAGTTCACTTCCAGAACAAACTCACTTCTCTCTGAGTGTCCTGCCTGCAGTGCAAGCTTTTTTTGGATTCCCTCCTGTTTATCGCTCATGGCGCCTGTGTATAGTACCTGGTGCAACTGAAACCGGCTTTGCCCTTGCCATGATCTTATTGCCATCCTTTTTGCTGGATCCTCCTATATAAGTACACCTGACCATTGCACATGTATGAACTTGTTGGACATCCCACTCCATAATGGGGTAATTTATCCCATTTAAGCAACTGATCATCTGTAAGGTCAGGTACTGATGTTGGATGAGAAGATCTTGCTCACAATCGGCATTCCAACCTATATCAAAGGTGTTCAGTAGGGTTGAGATCAGGGCTCAATGCAGGTCGCTCAAGTTCCTCCACACCAAACTGGTCAAACCATGTTTTATGGGGCTGGTTATGCACAAAGGGGAATAGCTATGCTTTAACAGGAAAGGACCTTCACCAAACTGTTATCACAAGGTTGGAAAGACACAGTTGTCTATAATGTGTTTGTATACTATAGCAATAACAGGACCCTTCACAGGTACCCGATAGTGTTGTGCAGTGACTGTACATCACCACTTCTCTTTTCACAGTCTGTTGATCAGCTCAGACCACTTGAAAACTGTAGTCTTTAGGCAGCTTCTTCTGTAAATTCATGCCATCTCAGCTATTGCTCAAGAAGGATATTGATTTTGCCCTCTGACGACACACATCCAGTTCTGAATTTGAAATGTGATAATGAAATTGTAACAGTAAATGAGCCATAATCACAGAAATAATTTTGTACTGTACTAAGATAATTATTGATAATGATTACCGCCGAAAATATACATTCATTGATTTGTAATCATCCCACAGTGGCCCCTCCCTGTGCGCAAAGCGCATAACCCTTTTCAGAGTGCTGGCAGCTGGCACAGGATCAGTGTCTCCTCTTGTCCGGCGTTACTTTGCAGCTGCTTTTATTATCTCTTGTAAGGAACCACTGACCTTGAAAAGCTATTTGTTTCCAGTAATGGCAGAAGCCCGGAGTCCACTCAGACCGCCATCTTCCAGTGACAGATAAAATTCCCTATCGCTCACTTTGCAGCAGCTGCACAAACATCCACTGAGCTGTGACACATGCACACGCCCTGCGAATAACCTGTAAAGATTCACATCTGCGGGACACAAAGCTTCCCCAGGCTGGGCTGTAAGTTCAATTGCAGAGATCTGCATACCGGACCTGGCCACCTTGTGAGCTGACAAATAGATTGCTCTACTGTGCTGTGGCATCACTAGCTCTGGAGGAATTAACCCAGTTAAAGTACCTCTATCATGTGAGAAATATATGGGCTGCCATTGCTGGCCTTTTGAAAGCATTAGTTGCCCTGGTTTGAAACCTCAGCGCCACATCCCAAAAACAAGTCTACAAGTGGGAGGAAAAACAACAGAACTCCTTAGTGATTAACTTTTTCTGGGCCGTTGGCATTTTAGCAATGCATTACATCCATTTTTATACCAGAAGTTTGTTCTCACTCTGGCATTCAATTTTAAAGTAAAAAATATCACTCCTTAAAAAAAAAAAGTGTTGCAGCACATAAATGAGTGTATCGGCATTAACAGTTTTCTTGCAGTCACCCTGCAAATTCCCCCAAATACCTGTTGATCCTGACAGTGAAGTCCACCTAATGCACCTGTGATGGCGTGGCAATGATGCTGCAAAGTCCCTGAATTCAGAGCAGAGTTGCCACTCTTATGTACAGTAGGCTGTACCTACTTGTAATACAGTGGGATGAACAAATGTTATTACTGCTGATTCAAAAGCCCTTAGCTTTTCACAGGATCTGGCCTCACCTAGTCCTCCCACTGCTTTCTGGATTGGCAGAACTGCCTCCGTTCCTGAAACCCTCCCACTGTGAGCTGTGGTGTCTGGGTAGGGGAGCGTGTGAGACACAATGAAACAGGATTTGGCTCATTCAGGGAAAGTAAAGAAGGCTTCTTGTTCACTTTATCAGGCTTATGCATCACATAATAACTGGATTTGGAAATTCGTTTAGACTGTCATTTTAGTTGTACTTGGCATGCAGACTTTAAAAAAAAAAACTCCAGAATAGTTGAGGGAGTTAACAGTCCCTTCCAGGTCAGCTATGCTTGTTGTAAGGATCTTAGAAAAACTTTTCATGTTGCTCCTTTTTCGGAGATTGTAAGATAGATCATTGCGATTCAGTTGCTTAAATCTTTCAAATTCAGCATTAAGTGGGCTCTGTTTACAATAGTCACATAATCAGCTTTGGGGCTGTGATAAGAATCATTGTACTCCCAGCATCCTGATAGCCATGTAGAAGCTTGTGAAAGTATTAACATATGTCAGCTATTCCTAGTAACATTCCATGCAACAGGCAGCCTGCAATTTGACCAAAACATATTTTTGGAAATGAGAGCCTCTTACAAGAGCAGGAAGGATGTGAAAGCAGGAGGAAATCTCAGGTGCAGCCTGGAGACATTAGAAGTTTTAGCAGTTGATAGCTATCCTGGCTAATGGCATTTGAAAGTAGATGTAAATGCTAACCGTATAGATTGTTTTCTCTGTGGACTGCATTATTATAATCAACTGCAATTTATTTAAAACTAGCTTTTTTTATCATTTGTTACATCTCAGTGCAGCCACTTTCTTTCTTCATGCACGCCAGCGATGGCTGCATGGTATTTTTTTTGTGGCGGGTTTACTGATGGTGATAACAGTAGACCATGGCCCATTTGTGTTGGAACAGACACTTGAAGCCTCCATTAGAAGCCATTGACAAGGTGACCAGAGTACAACTGGGAGACCAGGACAGAGTGTTGTCACCCTATAACAGGAAGTATCTGAAGAAGGACCTTTATGGCAGGATTGCTAGGGATTATTTTATTAAAAGCTACCAATGTATCATCATTGAGGATTATTAAGGAATCTACATTCACATGCCGAAGCATATATTAGAGTTTAGCTCTTGGGTTTACATCTACTTTGAATACACTTCAGCACTTTATATAGTGTAATTATATGTTATTACCATGGCCCCCTATGATGAAGGGTCGTTATCATGAAGGGTCCTACGTTTAGTATCGCTGCCTGTGTCTTTAAACTCTAAACATAGAAAGTGTTAAGGAGTGACCTTAGAGCCGCCTCCGGTCTGGCGTAGTAAATGGCGAAAGGGATGAAGCTGGCCACACACTCGCCCGTTAACCCTTCCCCACGAGCTGAGAGGTGTTTTCAGACGACAAACACGTCTCGTCTCCCGGGACTTCCTGCTCTGCCCTTTCTCCCTGAAAGGGCCCATTTTACGGCTGCAGGTATTTTTGGAACTCAGGTCTGTCCTGCGTGCGTAATAGTCTTCCAAGGGTCCTGTTGCGGCCAGAAGTTCTGATTAATTAAAGGGCAGTCAAACACCGCCGTAAACTGAGAGGTGTGTTCGTCCCTGCGGCCAGGCTTGGCCAGCCGATCTCCTGCGGTCACTGTGTGGCTTTGCTCACCTTTTAGAAGGTCGCAGAGTAAAACTGAGAGCAACTAGGATAAGAAAAGAGCATAGCAATATATTGTGAGCTTTGGGTTTGAGAACTGGGATTGCAGTTAATAGAAATAGATTTGCTCATCCGCTTTGTTCATCCTGATTTTATCCTTTTATATGCACAGTGTTGGTTGCTTTCCCTCTATTACTCACTAAAAAGTTTACTATTCTTTATGGGGTGCAATATCACCTCAAGTCAGGCACAGGGGAAAGAATTAGAAAAAAAATCACATTGGCCCTCCTTTTTTTGCATTCCATATTCAAGCAAGTGTGTGCCAGGAATAAAAAGCTCTGTTTGTGACAGGTTTATTTTATAGCAGACAAAGTATTTTTCACTTGGTGCCGATATCAACTTCCTATGTCCTTCAAAATCTTCACCTGTCTCATTACTCTTCACAATGGGTACACCTCACACTGCCAATGCTAGGTGGTGCATCAACCCTCCATCAAAAAAAAGCTACTGCCCAATGTGACTGATGCCATCAGCTATACAAGCTTGTACACGCGTTGAAAGCAGTATTGGTTGACGTGTGTCCGGGCACGCCCCCTTCCTCACAGGATGTCCGTCTACAACTGCTGGCGAGGTATGGGCTGAACCCCAACCAATCACAGCATCAAGCAAGGGCATCTTGGAACCCCTAAAATGCGATGGCTGTTTTTTTAATGCATAAACTTTATATTGACTAGAGGTAGGGCCCTTTGCACGCTTGAAAGCTACAATCTCCACCCTCAGCTACACCAAGGTCCAGTGGTTCAGCACGCCATTCAGCTGTCATGGTCTAGAAGGCATTGCCTAGTACCTGGGGTGTACCAAGCTGTAAATTAGACTTGCACCTCTGTTTCTGTTTGTTGCTTTTTTTTCTTCCTAAGATTGTGTTACTCCTTGAGTTTTCCTCTTCCAGATCGAGAACCTACAGGAGCAACTCCGGGACAAGGAGAAGCAGCTGAGCAGCTTGAAGGAGAGAGTCAAATCACTACAGGCAGACACTAGTAATACAGACACTGCACTGACCACCCTGGAGGAGGCACTGGCAGAGAAGGTGAGAGTCCCATCACGCCATAGCTGTGAATGTGCATTGATTGAAGCGACCATCTAAACTGTATTGAAGTTTTATCTTGGTTGATGCTAGGTGATTAAATAAAGCTGTCATGATAAAAAAATATGGGAGATGCATTGCTGACGGTCTCTTAAAGTTCAATTAAAGTTTCAAGGGAAATGCTTTATATAAATTTGGTGCATGGAAAAACAATGAGTTCTCAGTGTCTTACCAATATTTTTCTTTATAAAGCAACCTCAGGAAGAATAGAAAATACAGTGTCCAATACTAGGCCACATATGGGCCACATATGGGTTAGCGCTTCTGCCTTGCAGGACTGAGGGTCCCCGGTTCGAATCCCGACTGGGGTCACTATCTGCAAGGAGTTTGCATGTTCTCCCTTTGCTTGAGTGGGTTTCCTCCAGGTACTCCAGTTTCCTCCCATTAACTCCTTTCTAAGCTGGCCCTGTATGTATGCATGTGAGATAGGGACCTCAGATTGTAAGCTCCTTGAGGGTAGGGACAGATGTCAATGTGCAACTATGTAAAGTGCTGCGGCGCTATATAAATACCTGTAATAAATAAATAAAATAAATAAATATCATAGTTAGAGCTCTTCAGCTGGGAACATGAACTTTTTCTGATTGACTCACATATGGGTTGTGTGGGAACGCTAGTAAGAGAGCGCTGCCAAACAAAGAGTAGCGGGACAAGCTTTTTACTATGGCTGTGGCTGCTTTATTAGCTTAATGAACAGTAGGACTGTGAATAAATTTTGATTGTCGAATTAAATAAACACTCCACATGTTGTTTCCTAGGAGAGAATCATACAGACAATAATAATTAAAAAAAAAAAAAACTGTTCCAGCCAATGTAAAGATGAAGAAAGTGAAAAGAGGTCAAGTGGATTTTTTACAGAGTATTTACAGCTGCTATTTAGGGATTGCTAGAGAGTTGAGTCTTGAGACAGGGAGCAATACAGAGTTTACAACAGCCTGTACCCACAATCGATAATACGGAATCACCTGCACTCCATACAGCTTACAGACCTTGGATGAAAGGTTGGTGCTTGAAGTGACAACACGGATACAGATACAGTCCATAATAGAAGTCACCAGCACTTGCTGATGATGTGTGCAAGAAGTAAAGCACTTTTTATTAAATTGTCACATGTGTCAAACAACCAACGTTTCGTGGGCCACACAGGGTCCCTTCTATTATGGACTGAGCCTGTACACACAGGGACACTAAGGCCCCATTCACACCAGGGCAGAAGCGCTTTAGTGCGGTTTCCGCATGATTTTTGAAAGGGCATTTTTAATCTGGCTTTAGTGCTGAAACGCACTTAAAAACGCCCAAAAACGATCTATATGGAAAACGCGCTGATCAGTGCGAAAAAAGTAGCTCAGGAGCATTTTGGGCGGCAGGCGGTTGGGATCGCACAGAGCCGCGCGATTGCATGAACGATCCACATAGGAACATATGGGGTTGTTCATGTCCGTGGTTCAGCGTGGACAATTCCTCACGACCGAACCGCCCTGGTGTGAACAGGGCCTTAGATGGCTCACAATAAACCTCCTGTTGGTGTAAAGAACGAATAGTACATAAACAGTTTTTGGCAGCTCACCAGCAGAATCTCATTGATGTAACTGAGCAGGTTGCTGCAAAACTGATGCTAGGTCTTCTACTCAACACTTATCAATGAGGGCTTATAGAGCCATACTCGGTTTGGGTGAGACAGGAAAGAGGCAGCTTGCTTTGACCTTTTTAAATTTACTTTACAACTGAACTCCAGGAAAACATGTACATTCACAGATGAAATACATGTATGGGAGCTTTTATACCTGACAGAGGATTCGTATTTTCAGCCATTCAGTCCTGAGATTTACACAGCCAGACAGATACCACTTTCTCTATTATAATTCAAACCCAGCTTGGGGCAATTTTTGTTGCTTTTTTTTTTTAAAAAGGAATCCCTGTTAGTGTTGAAATAAAAGGCAATTGTTGCTGCAGTACTTACCCCCACGCTGTGGTGGGCTGTCCTGCACTGCACCCCTGCCACTAGATGTCCTCAGTCTTCTGAATTGAGTGACACCAAGGACCGACCGTATAATGTGAGTACAGGGTGTCATGGACCCACCCTCTGAGGGAACGGATACCACTGCACCCTGCACGTACAGTGTAATGATGAAATCATGACATTATCATCACTTTCTGCATCATTACCTAGCCTATAAACAAAATGTAGGGGGGACTGAGAGCGAAGTCTGTAGTTGGGCTTTTAGAATTAGACTTCTGACATCACCCTATCTATTTTGACAGTAATGGAGCAGCAGCAAACTAATGAGGTCATCTCTGTGCTCCCTTTGCTCTCTCCACCTATCAGCATGTTTCTTGTTAGTACATTTTCATACAGTGCACCTAGTTGGCTACCAGTGCAGCCCCTCCCTCACCCAGTCTGATTGCTAATGTATAGGGGATATATAGAGGCTAATACTGAGTCAAGTTCAGGTAAATACTTTAGTTAGGCATTCAAAATAGTTGGTTTATAGATTTATTAGTGGATTCAGAACTGCATTTATTTGTGTATGACAGATCTCCCTGGAGTTTAACTTTAAACAATTTAAATAAGGTCCCTAAGGCTCTGTATCTGAGGCATCATTGCCTCAGTATTTATTTTTCCTACAGGAAACATTTGTTGTTTTTCTCAGATCACATTGGACATCTGTTCTATTATGAGTAAATGAAAATATTTTTGGGGTAAAGTTCTTCTCTAATGTATTGGGGTCGCTGTCTTCTCCACAGTCCTCACTTCTCGATCTTAAGGAACATGCTTCCACCCTGGCCTCCTCTGGCCTTAAGAAGGACTCTAGACTGAAGAGCTTGGAGATCGCCCTGGAGCAGAGGAAGGAGGAATGTCTGAAGCTGGAGAACCAGCTGAGGAAGGTAAGAAACTTCTGCCAAGTTCCAAATACTTCCCCATCATGCCAACCAATCATATTGCTCAATTTTCTATCTGCCTTGTTTCAAAAATTCACCAGTCACACTACTATATACTATACACTCCTCAGCATACAGACGCGTAAACCAATCAGTGGGCTGCAAACTCTTCTGCTGTACCCAAAAAAATCACTGGAATCATTGTTAGTCATATTGTAGAATTTTTTTTAACCCAGCTAATTAAAAATGCATTTTTTTTATTATCTGATAACCCGGCGGGCGTTCAGTTCATCACACATTAATGCGCATTTATGAACAGCTGCTAAATGCTCCAATGTATAAAACATGTCCCAAGCAGCCATACTCATCTATCACGCAGTTTTTGTGTTAAAGGTTAAAGTAGAAGTATTGGGAGATTGAAATGTACTGTTCCCAATACCTAGACCTGGCATGTGATACTGCAGCTGTCACACGCCGGCTCTATAGATCGAGAGCTGAGCGATCACGTACCGTTGATCACACAGCTCACGTTCTTCTCCCTGCAGAGGATGTCAGTCTGTGCTCCGCAGAGATATTCCCCCCTCCCCTCTCTGTTCCTCTAGCTCTCATTGGAGGGGCAGGCAGAGGAGGGGGTGGGCACAGTTGGCTCTGGCTCAAGAGAGGTAGAGGCAGCTCGGCGGATCCCGAAAATATTGTCGGGATCTTTCCCATCTGCAGCACGGTTCTGAGCCATCAGCATATAATGGGCAGTACCCGGCTAGATGCTGAATTTGGGTCACATTAGTAAAGGTATTCCTGTGACCCAAAAGAGGACTAGCTAGAAATAAAAAGGTTGGAATTTAGTTCTCTTTTTAAAGCTATTGCAAAAATTGCATGTACATAAACATATGAGTCATGTAAACATGGATAGGATGAAATATGGTGCACACCAAGTATACCTCTTGCACGTATAATGCATCTATGAGTGCTTTTAGTTTAAGGTGCCAAGGTCAACATACACTTTAAATCTGAGGCCTCTTATCTGAACTACAACATGCTCCCTTCAGGCTATTCAGTGTTGTACTGATAAATCATAAAACAACCCAACAGAACCTAATTCTACCTATAACCTTTTCAGTTTTGCTTTGCTTTGTTATTTTTATTGCCCCCTCTCCTTATTTTCTGTCTGACCTCACCATGTTTCTTGTCCCTGTCTCAGCATTCTGATGGGTTACCGCACTCCGGGAAAGCAGTAAGTTCCTCCGCATGGGTGCCCCCTATATCCCTGCCATTGTCACCTTCGCATGATTTACCCCCCATCTTGCATTTGCTCTGCAATGTGTTGCAGTCATATATGCTGTTATAATTTAAAAATGACACTCACATTTATATATATATATATATGTATATATATATATGTATAATTTTTTGGGGG